AGGTTAACTAATGGAATCACTTGATTATTTTTTATATAAATGATATTATAAATGATGTGGAAATTATGTGAATGCCAACTGTACAAACCAGAATGACGTGGAAATTATTGAGCCACGTAAGCTTGTTTCCGACTTTGTAATTCAACCTCTTCCAAACCAGAATAACATGGCCCAGTAAAAATGAAAGTGTTGGCCGGAAAGTGTAGGAGGTGAGTGCCCCTAGCACTCCTCAATTAAAAAGTTTACATTTTAATTCATGAATTAAATGAATTTAAATAGGATTAATTTTAATTTCTTCATCTTCTTCTTTCTCCTTATCCTTATCCTAGTCCTCATCCTCATCCTCGACATCATCATGTCATCAGCATCTTGCTCGTCATCCTCATCATCATCCTAGGTTGCTCATAGAACCCCCTTGTTGGGTTCCACGAACCCAGATTTGGGTTCCTTGAACCCAGTTTCTAGGTTGCTTGTAGAACCCTCTTGTTGGGTTCCTCGAACCTAATTTTCTGGGTTGCTTACAAAACCCAAGAAAATGAGAAATTATCCTCAAATTTCTTGATGTCTCATCAAAATTGTTTTACAAATGAGATAGACCAATAATGCAGTAAAATTACCAATAATCACACACAAGATCGAGTCCCATTTTTAATAAAATTGAACAAAAATCACAAAAATAAGATCTAAGCATCAAAATCTGATCTAGCAAAAAACAAATTGACGCCTCACTGTGCCACAAATCTGTGCGAAATGAGAAGAAAAGATACAACATTGATTTAGATGGCTTAAAACTCCTCTAGTGAGGAAAATCAGTCTACAGATCAAATCTGATTAGAAAATGAAAAAAGTGATTCAATGCCTCAATGTAGCAGAAATTGGGTTCCTTGAACCTAGCAAGCAAGGAACCCAGAAACTAGGTTCTGCTAACCCAGCAACTGGGTTCCTCGTGGAACCCAGATATGGGTTCCGTGAACCAAGCATCGTGGAATCCAAATCTGGGTTTCACGAGCCCAGCAACTGGGTTCTACGAACCCAGCAAAAAGGTTCCATGAAGCAAACTAGGTTCGCGAACCCGCAAGGAGCTTAGCAGCTAGTGAGGATGAGTATGATGCCAAAGATGAGGAGAAAGAAGGTCAGCATAATCTGCAACTCTTCCCACATCACTTCAGGCCTAGAAATTTATCAATGTTAACGAAGAAGAAGACAAAAACGATTAAGAAATTAAAATTAATCCTATTTAAATTCATTTAATTGATGAATTAAAAAGTAAAATTTTTAATTTGTACAG